TTTTATACAGATAGTTTTAATAAGTCTTATTTTTTCAGGTTGATATCAGCAAAATCACAATGTTATGTTCTCTCATCGAGACTTTGCTAAAGCAAGCAGGACCTGGTCAAGGTCTGGGAGTAGCTGCTGGAGACAAATCTAAGGCTAGGACTTATGTCTGCCAAATTTTTATTTGGGCAGCTTTGTGGTCAGTTGGTGGTAATCTGCTACAAGATTCACGAGAAAAGCTGCAAGACCTTGTGAAGGAAACATTCCAAGCTGTACCGGAAGCATAGTTAGTTCTATAATAATGAAAAACTAATTGATTTTTGTTTTACTTATTGCCTTTTTAGTCTACCTCCTGATGTTGATCTTTGGACAGTTTTCATGGATCCCAAAATCCGCAAATTATGCGACTGGGATTTAATAGTAGACGAGTTTGAGTATAATGCTGAGGTAAAGTTTTTCGAAATGCTTGTGCCCACAATAGATACTGCCAGATTTGGACATGTTGCTGCACTTTTGTTAGAAGCCAGAAGGCCCGTAATGTTTACTGGGGATACTGGAGTAGGGAAATCAGTTATTGCTCGAGAGGTAAATACAAAAACAGATTAGTAGTCAAGCCAAAATTTAGCTACCACTTTTCTTGTAACTTTGACTTAGGTTTTTATTATTATTTAATTTTTATTATTTTTAGGTTTTAAACAAATTGAATGAAGAATCTAATGCCATACCAGCTATATTGAATTTCTCAGCTCAGACGAGCAGTTTTCGTACCCAAGAAATGTTGGAACTCAGGATGGAGAAAAGAAGAAGGACGCAAATTGGAGCACCCATTGGAAAATATGTTATAATTTTTGTGGACGATGTAAACATGCCTAAGTTGGAAATATACGGTGCTCAACCACCCATAGAATTACTCAGGTTTGATAATTTATAAATTATATATATATATATATATATATATATATATATATAGAATATTGAATATATATATAATATAGAATAGTTTGGACCCAGAAAGTTAGATTTTTGAAATAAGTAAATTATATGGAAGCACTCTTTCACCTAACTGGCTTCAATTTTCTTAGGCAAATTCTGGACTTTGGCGGTTTGTACGATCGTGAAAAAATGTTTTGGAAAGATATCGTTGATGTGGTGATATCTTGCGCATGTGCTCCTCCTGGTGGTGGAAGAAATCCATTGACTCCTCGATTTGTCCGACATTTTAGTATGCTGCTGATTCCTCCTCCTCAAGAAATTTCCCTAAAAGTCATTTTTTACGTGAGTGATGAAATTATATAAAAATAATTATTAAAAGCAATTTTGGTTTGACAAAAACTATTAAATTATAAATATTGATTTTATCATGTTTTTTTTTTCTTCTAGTCCATTCTGAAAGGATTCTTCGCAGACTTCACAGTACCCATAAGAGAATTAGCAGAGCCTCTGGTTGCAGCTGCAGTCGTCATATACGAACGCATAGCAGAAGAATTGTTGCCTACCCCTGCAAAATCTCATTATGTATTCAATTTGAGAGATTTATCGAAATGCGTTCAGGGAATTTTACAAGCCAATAGCGATACTATACGAGATCAGCCTCAGATGAATCGATTGTTCTACCATGAATGTTTAAGGGTAATTATAAGAAATAATAAGAAGTTAAAGAAGTAACAGTCTATTATTGAGCTCTTATATATTTTATATTTATTTCAGGTTTTCCATGACCGTCTAATAAATGATGAAGATAAAACTTATTTCCATAGTTTGATGCGCGAAGTTTGTACTCGGTTTTTGGATACTCCAGTTTTGAAACCTGGAGAACTTTTGCTTTATGGAGACTTTATGTATCCTGGCAAGGCTAGAGAGGAGAGGATTTATGAAGAAATTACGAATCTGGATAAATTGCGGAATATATTGACAGTACGTACTTATAAAATAGTTTTTGTAACTTTTCAACCACTTAAGTAAAAATTTGGTAAGGTTTCTAACTTTTGAGAGTGATGAAAACTGCTGATGCTTTTTTACTAGGGTTTATATAAAAACCGACATTTCACAAAACCGGTTTTCGAATTTCAATTTTACAAAAAAAAAACGGTTTTAGCCGGTTTTCAAATTTTATATAGAAAATAATTTTTTGCTCGAATATTCTGTAATTGTAATGTTATTTAGAGCAGTATTTCACTGAATTTATTTATTGTTCAATTTTATGACAGTAAGCAAAATTATTTTAATTTTAATTAGTAGAACTAAAAAATAATAGTTTATCTTGATTAAATAACTTTGAAAATAATTATTCGTTATTCATGCATCATTTTCAATAAAAGAATGAAAATATTTTTATGATAGTGAAAGGAAAGTTTTCGAATAAATAAAATATTACATTTTTAAATAAAAAACATTCTTTAAATTAATATTAGATACATGTTGATACATACTTGTTAATATAAATTTTGAGTTTAAAAACAATTAAGCTAAACTCGGGTATTGTCTGTTCGAAGCAATTTTAATTAATTAATTCTGAACATTTTACCTGTTTTTTTGTTTATAAAAATATGATTTAAAAAAACTGAGAACATCTATCGAATTGCTACTCAGACGTGTCACAAAATTTTCTGAAATAGAAAATACTTTCATACTTGCGACCAAATTATGCTTAATTGTTTTAAAAGCTTGATATAATAATTCTAAGTGTTTTGTTTTTTTATTTGTGGCTTCTAGGATTCAAAACTCTTTTTCTTAAGTTTGAGTAGATTAAGTTACTTCTTTGAGAAGAAGTCACACTGATTTTATATTAAATTACTATATACACTGGTATAAAAATGTAAATTAGTATATACAAAACCTTTCTGGGAACCATTGCAGACTGATAAGATATCAAATGCTATTGAACCGATATGATTTCAAGAATCAAAACGCATTCTATATCTGTTATATTTGGCTATATTTGCCATTTTGCATTTATACAGTGAAAACCTACTTTTTTCACTAAAAAAACGGTTTTCGAATTCAATAATTTTTGCCAAAAAAACGGTTTTTGAAATCCGACAAACCCTATTTTTTACCTAATAATGTCAATAAAACCAAATTAATATATTTAGTACATTTATTAATTTTCATTCAGGATTTCATGGACGATTACAACATCGTCTACTGTAAGGACGTCCACATCGACTTCTTCATCGACGCGATCGAGCACACTCTGCGACTGACCCGCCTCCTACGGGCAGAGCGCGGCAACGGCCTGATGGTCGGAGTCAGCGGCATGGGCAGGCAGACGCTGACCAGGCTGGCTTCGCACGTCAACGGATACAAGTGAGTCGAAAGAAATTGGTAGATTAATTTTTTAACGTCCCAAAGTTTGTTTTTGCAAAATATTCCGATTTGCTAACTTTATGTTTTCTCGACGTTTCAAGTCATTCTGAATCGAATGAGACCAAATATAGAAAAAGTAAAATCAATAAGAAGAATCTTTCAGACTTATATACATCGAAAATATACATTTATTTTTTTACAGGTGTATGCAAATTGAATTGACCCGAGGATACGATCACAGTTCCTTCCAGGAAGATTTGCGTGCCTTGTATTGGAAAGCTGGTGCTGTTGATGAACCTACGGTGTTTTTGTTTACTGATACGCAGATTGTAAAAGAAGAATTTTTAGAAGATATTAACAATATACTAAATTCAGGTAAAATAGTTATTTATAATTTGATTAATATTTTTAACTTCCCGTAGGGTAAGTTAAAGTAATCGCAAAAAAATCGAAAATGAAAATTTTTGCATATCTTCACGTTTCAGAGGTTTCTAAACATTTTGGCATACTTTAGAAAAAATTGATGTGCATGTGTGTGTATTTGGGTTCGGATACAAGTTTTCGTCGACGATTTCGACAAACACAATTCAATCGATTTGAATGATTAAAAAAATATTCGATTTCTATTGATAAGGAGCGGTTTTGGAGATACAAAAAAATGTAAAAAAATGATATTTGGCGGTTTAAAACGACCATTGGACACGTGCACGTCACATTGTTAGATATAATAGAGATTTAAAAAATGAGTACAAGTTTTGTTACAATTTTTTTGGGTGTAGTACCAAGATTTTTAATTGTTAAAGTTCACTTATGCGGTTCAACAAATTTCAAAAATATACAAAATTTCATACTTTAGATTTTAAATTTACAATTCAGTTTAAAAATGTTTATATTTCATATCCGTTATTGTAATCGTAAGAAATATATCCTCAGATGGATTCATTCGGAATCTCTTTTTAATGTAAACATTTCTAAGTGTTTTGAGGGATAAGATCGTCACTGTATATTATGAGAAAAAATTATTAGCAGAGAAAAAAAGAAAAAATATGTTTTATTTCAATCGATTTGTTCAATCGATAAGTTGTGGGAAGGGTAAGTAAAACCTTTGTAGATATTTAAGGCTTGTTAAGAAAATTGCAAAAAACATTTATTCGATCGGCACAACTGGAGATAATTAATTTACCGCAGAGGATGTTCATAGGAGTTGAGCAATAAATCCATATTTCAATCGTAAATATTTACGTAAAAAAAATTTTTCAGCAAAATCCTGAAATACGTATCAAATGATTTTATGTATAATATCTGTAAAAAAAAATTCAGACAATTTTAAAATGTCAAGGTTTGGTTGGTGTGCGGTGTGTAAAAAAATTACCTATATATATTAATTATAATTATCTCTTTGAAAATATTTAAGACAATTGTTTTTAATCATTGATTTATATTTATTGATTATTAGTTTTTTTTTGCTCGAATACTTAATTCTGGTACGGAAAATTTCAACAATTTGCCTTAAGGCACGATGCCATGCACCACTAGTTGCAACTCAAATAGCAATGTTTGTGGATTTCTGACCCAATATGTATGGTGAAAAATATAATTATGGTACATCTCGAGAAATAAAGATTTCTCCTGCGAAAGAAGTTCTATATCGCAAATAATTGTCAGTTATAAATGTCAGTTTATCGAAAATGACATTCAATTACTAGGTGAGGTTCCCAACTTATTCGAAGCCGACGAGTACGAAAAGGTGATCATAGCTTGCAGAGATGCAACGGTCAAAACTGGTGTCGATGCCACCAGAGACGCAATTTACAATTTCTTCATCCAACGTGTCAGGGCCAATTTGCATTTGGTCATTTGTATGAGTCCCGTGGGTGATGCCTTCAGGTATAAAAAATAATATTTATTACAACCATTGTTTTTTAATATTTATTTGTTTTCAGGCGGAGATGTCGTATGTTCCCATCGCTGGTGAATTGCTGTACTATAGATTGGTATATTGCATGGCCTGAAGATGCTCTTTTATCTGTTGCCCATAGGCAATTGAAATATTTAGAAGATGAGGAGTTGATCAATAAATTGTCAGAGATTTGTGTCATAATACATAAGGTAATTTTTTAAAGAAATATGTGGCGTATTACTATTTATTATAATAGAAATAATCAATATACAAAATAACCACATTTTTCAGTCTGTTGAATACAACTCAGAAAAGTTTTATGAAGAAACTAGAAGGCGGTACTATACAACACCCAGTAGTTATTTAGAATTGCTTACACTTTATGGAACTTTACTTGGTAATTAAATATTTTTTTATTATTTAGTTATTTTATAATTTATTTGTTAATAAATATATTGATTACTTCTATATTTTATTTTTATAGGCAAGCGAACTGAGAAAATTCGTTACAAACGCGATCGTATCGCGACTGGTTTAAGAAAAATCAACGAAACCAACGAAATAGTTTCCACCATGGAAGAAGAATTGCATCTTTTGGAGCCACAACTTGCAGAAAAATCTGTTCTTTTGGCAGAACTAATGAAGCAATTGGCGGTTGAACAAGCTAAAGGCGAAAAAGTGCGAGTGGTTGTGCGGAAAGACGAATCGGCAGCTCAGGTAATAATTGTAACAAATATAAGGGTTATTCTGTGACTGGTCCATTTTTTATGAAGTTCACGAATAATATTATTTTATTTCTCTCAGGAAAAAGCAGCAGAAACACAACTGATTGCCGACGACGCTCAGGCTGACCTGGATACTGCAATGCCGGCGCTCTTAGCAGCAGAAGAAGCCTTGAAATCTTTAAATAAAAATGATATCAACGAATTGAGAGTATTCGTAAAACCTCCAGAACTTGTGCAAGTTGTTATGGAAGCCGTTTGTATTCTATTAAATCAAAAGTTAGTAGATTCTCAGAAGTAAAGCTAATTTTTAACTTCCCGTAGGGTAGTTATAGTATTTGGCCAAAAATCGAAAATGAAAATTTTTGCATATCTTCACGTTTTGAAGGTTTCTGAACATTTTGACATACCTCAGAAAAAATTGATGTGTGTGTGTGTATTTTGTGTCCGCATTTTTTCGTTCACGTTTTCGGGCGCACGGAGTAACCGATTTGAATGGTTCAAAAACCAAGTTCGATATTTCATTCTTTAGCAATAAATAGAAAATTCGGCACGTTTTTTTGGTTTTTGTCAAATAACTCAAAAATTTCATATGGAACCACCATTTTTCAGTTGAATACGGTAAAATTAGATAAAATTTACTACATTTTCATAAAAGTTTTGAACAAAACGGTTGTGAATTCGATATTTCATCCTTTATCCTTTCATATATTTCATCCTTTAGCAATAAATAGAAAACTTGGGATATTTTTTGGTTTTTTGTACAATAACTCAAAAATTTCATATGAAACCACCCCTTTTCTGTTAGATAGGGTGAAACTAGATAAAATTTACTATATTTTCTTGAGAATACTGTTATACATTCCGAAATAGAAAATTCGGGTCATTTTTCTTGTTTTTTCGATTCCTATTGATAGGGAGATGTGCTGATAACTTTTTGGCAAAGGCAGGTTCAGCCATTTCAAAGACACAGAGCTAAATGCACAAAAAATGGCAGTTTTTGAGAGAACTAAGCGTCTGGTTTGAATGATTCAAAGAACTTTCCGCTTGATTTAACAAAATAATTGCTTTTGGAAAAAAAAATTGTTTCAAATTTTTTTTTCAAAAAAAAATTTTTTCTTGTGTATCAAAAATAATTCAGATTCTAATTTTAATTCTGGCTAAAGTTCTGAAGCTCACTTAAATACTTTAAACAAATAATTTTAACATTCCAATTCAGTTTATATAATTCTTTTAAATATTAGACAACGTTACAGTATTTATAATAATCTATTTGAGAACATTTAATATTCCTCGATCATTTCGTTACGGTACGGTAAGTACCAGCAATTTGTCTTAAGGCACGATGCCATACAACACTAGTTCAATATACAAATTATAAGAAATATTGGACAATTAGGAAAAACTTATTCATTTTAAAAATAATGTTATTATAAACTAATAAATTGATTTTTACCCTCAGGCCGGATTGGGCGACAGCAAAATTCATTTTAGGCGACACTCACTTCTTGGAAAGACTACAAGAATATGACAAGAATCATATTTCAGAAAAGACGTTGACAAAACTGAAGCCATACATACTGAATAAAGATTTTAAACCTGAAATTGTCATAAAAGTATCAAAGGTATAGTAACAGTTGGAATACTTAATTTACTTGTGGTACCAGATTTACTAAAAAAATCAATAGCACTTTATTTTAAAAAAAATAGTCTGGTTAAAGTCTTCTAATCTAAAAATTCTATTTATTATATGTTTTAGTTGATTTTTATTAACCATTCACAGGTCTAAATATTTCTGCTAATTATCCATTTTTTGTTATAAAATATTTATTATGCATTGTTTTTTTAAGGTGGCAAAATCTATTTGCATGTGGGTGCGTGCTATTGATCAATATGCCAAAGTTTATAAAATAGTAGAACCAAAGATGATGAAATTGAATGCTGCTGAAACTGAACTGAACCAGGTTATGGCTATTCTTAGAGAGAAGCAACAGCAACTTGCCGAAGTTGAAGCTTATATTAAAGGTAATACATTATTAAATTGTTGAACAGTTGGTTCACAATGTATGGTTCTACATATAGTTTGTCCACCATGTTTTTAATTTTAATTTTTTTTCCAGGTTTGGAAGATCAACTGGACGAGAGCCTCCGCGCCCAACAAGCTTTAGAAGCAAACATTGAACTATGTGCCAATAGGCTATCCCGTGCCGGTAGATTGACCTCCGCCTTGGCTGATGAAGAAGTACGTTGGGCTCAAAGTGTTGAAATTTTAGGCCGTGAAATTTGGGCCTTGCCTGGAAATATTTTAGTAGCTTCAGCATGTGTGGCATATTTGGGCGCATTCAGTTCTGCTTATCGGGACAACATGGTTAAAATCTGGTCGGACAAAACCAGAGCTCTGAATGTACCATCTTCACCAGAATTTGAGTAAGATGACGACATTTTATAAAGCTCAACTTGTTATAAGAATTTGTGATATTTAAAAAATTATTTTCAGTCTTATAGAAGTGTTGGGAGATCCATACGATATCAGAATGTGGAACATGTATGGTTTACCTAGAGATCTTATGTCTACTGAGAATGCAATAATGTTGACTTCTGCAAGTCGTTGGCCTTTGTTAATTGATCCACAAGAACAGGTAAATATAATAACAATCACGATTGTACAACGATTATGACTACCTTTTTTGCTACTTGCAAGGCTAATAGATGGATTCGTAATATGGAGAAGGCAAATAATTTAAAAGTGATCAAGTTAACTGATCCTAATCTTTTGAGAATTATGGAAGCAGCTATTCGAACTGGCGCTCCTGTATTGATTGAAGAAATTGGGGAATTTTTGGATCCGACACTCAGTCCTATATTAAATAGACAAATATTTGTACAGGTAATTAATATTATATTTTATTTAAAAAATCTATTATTTAAAATTCTTGGTTTCTACTTAGAAACCCGTTGAAGACCTTGGATATTTCTATTATATTTCATACGACATAAATGTTATTTTTAGAGTGGCAGAGTTCTGATAAGACTTGGTGATAGTGATGTCGACTACGATAGAAAATTCAAATTATATATGACTACCAAGTTGTCCAATCCTCACTATTTACCAGAAGTTTGCATTGTGGTAAGTACTATTAGACATTGATTTTATTTCATTATGATCAACTTCTACACATGTATCATTTATCCTATCAGGTGACTTTGATAAACTTTAATGTGACTCCTACTGGATTAGAAGATCAATTATTGGCAGATGTGGTGCGTTTGGAACGTCCTGATTTGGAACAACAAAGATCAGAATTGATCATTCGAATAAATGCTGACAAACAACAATTGCAAAATCTGGAAGATCGAGTGTTGACATTGTTGTTTACATCAGGAGGTTGTCTTTTGGATGATGAAGCGCTGGTGGAGACTTTGAATGAGAGCAAGGTAATAATTATAATTTCTAAATAAAGTCTTCAATAGTAAGATTATTGGAGAATATATTATATAAGTTTAATGGTGACCTTTTGGTTTACTCATTTTTGTTATTTCAAGGAAACTTCTGCTATAATTGCGGCAAGATTGATAGAAACCGAAGCTACTGAAATAAAAATTTCTACAGCCCGAGAAAAATATCGTCCTTTGGCTGCACGTGGTTCTATTTTATACTTTGTGGTTGCACAACTGGGTGATGTTGACCCTATGTACCAGTTTTCTTTAAAATATTTTAATCAGGTCAGTGGTAAAGATCTTTGGTCATTATTGACTATGCTAACTTGAGGCAGGCTTTTATTTGAAATACATTTTAAATCGATTCAGAAAAATTTAGTATGGATTTAAATAGCTAAAGATTTATTTTTGTTTTTAGATATTTAATAATGTCATAGAAATTACTCCGAAAGTTGATGATTTGGAGCAAAGATTACAAACTCTTATGGATGCAGAAATTTTGGCAATGTACATCAATGTATCCAGAGGACTATTTGAAAGACATAAGGTATTTAAACGTTTTTGTCAATCTATACTCAACAAATTCAATCATTGTCCTTAAATCCTTAGATCATGTTCAGCTTCTTACTAACCGTGGCAGTACAAAGACAACTTGGTTTTGTAAAATCGGAATGGTACGACTTTTTGTTACGTGGCAGTGTTGGTACATCAGCAGTTCCTTCAAAAAAACCGGAAGTTCCAGCTTTGACCGATGCCATCTGGTTGAATGCTCATCATATAGAACTAACGTTCCCATTCTTTGCAAACGTTGTCAGAGATGTATTGAACAATATTGAGATCGAACTTGGAGACTTTTATCATGTAAATAATAGCAAAGCAGTATAATTGTAGTTCTTATGCTAATAACATTTTTAATTAAATTTTTACTATAGGTCATAAGCATACCCGGAGGAACTGGAAAAGCAAGTTACACGAACTGGACTGATATTCTGGATAATTTCCAAAAATTAATGTTGGTACGAGCTCTTCAAGAAGAAAAATTAGTTTTTGCAATAACTTCTTATGTCAGAGTTACTCTTGGTGCTGTTTTTACAGAAAGTCCTACTGTATCTTTGCAAAGTTTGTAAGTGGATATAATGGAATGTGTGAATTAGGGCTATTATTTTTTACTACTGTTAACAATTGTTTTTTATTGCTGTTACTACTGTTATTAACTTAATGATTGTTTCATATCTAGGTATTCCGACATGAACAGTGTCACTCCTTTGGTTTTTGTCCTGAGTGCTGGATCTGATCCGATGGCCCAATTGCAAAGATTTGCTGTTGAACTCAATATGAAAGACAGTCTTGAAAGTATATCTTTAGGTCAAGGACAAGGACCTGTTGCTGAAGCCTTGTTGGATAGAGGCAGAGTCGAAGGATTGTGGATTTTTTTGCAGGTAAAATGAATACTTACAAAGGATACTTCAAACACAATTTATTAATATGAATCAAGAATATTGTTATTCAGTAACTATATTCAGCATCCATCTTCTCCTTTCAGAATTGCCATTTAGCGACATCGTGGATGCCAGCTTTAGAAAAAATTGTGCGAGATTTAGCTCTGGGTGTGGGTCCACCGGTGCACCCTAATTTCCGACTTTATTTGAGCTCAATGCCGGCAAAGACTTTTCCTGTGAGCGTTTTGCAGAATTCTGTAAAAGTCACCAATGAGCCCCCGAAAGGAGTCCGAGCCAATGTGAAGCGAGCTTTGACAGAAATGACTGAGGAATATTTTGAAGAAAATCGTAAGTAGAATGATAGAATAATATTATATACAAGAAACAGAAATGTTAGAAACTTGCTTGGAATTTTAGCTTTGGAACAAAAGTGGCGATCCATGGTTTTTGGATTAGTACTCTTCCATGCAATAATATTGGAAAGAAGGAAGTTCGGGCCTTTGGGTTGGAATATTACATACGAATTCAACGACAGTGATAGAGAATGTGCCTTGACGACTCTTCAAATGTTTTGCTCCCAGGCTGAACCTGGAGTTGTGCCCTGGGACGCTTTGGAGTACATAACAGGAGAGATTACTTATGGAGGTGACAAACAACAAACCTATCCAAAAATTGCATCAAATTTTTACATCAATCTTTCTTTTTTAGGTCGCGTGACAGATGCTTGGGATCAACGTTGTCTGAAAGTAATACTAAAACAATTCTTTTCACCTCCGACGATTGTGCCAAAATATAAATATTCGGAATCCGGAATATATTACTGTCCTCAGTACACAAAACTGGAAGAATTTAGAGAGTTTGCCAATCAGTTGCCTTATGTTGAGCCTCCGGAAGTTTTTGGCATGCACGAAAATGCCAACATAGCATACCAGGTAACAAAACAACTTAAGGGAAAACTAATTTAATAATATTTATATTTTTTTTAAACTTTTATCTTTTTTTAATAGATCAAAGAAACACAAGCAATGCTGATGACACTACTGGAAGGACAACCTATTAAAGCAGGAGCTGGTGCAGGAGCGACAGACGATTTTGTCTATAGTAAGGCCCAGGAAGTTATGGATAGAATATTGCCAAAAGTTGGAGAAGCACGTCCGCACTTTAGTTTATATGTGGTAAATTAAATAAGATCATTTTTATATAATTGTGCATACGTTTTCCTAAAACCTGAGAATATCGATATTTATGTTCATGATCAAGTTCTACCCAAAAAATATCATATTTATATATATATTTCTATTAAAATTTGGTGTTTTATATTCCTAGCGTGATAAAAAAGGCAGAGTTCCATCGTTGACCACTGTGTTGATGCAAGAAGTCGACAGATTTAATAAACTTTTGAATCTAATTCATTCAAGTTTGAGTAATCTTCAGAAGGCAATTAAGGTTTGTTTATACATTTATAATGTTACTAGCAAACCCGACGAACTCCGTTTCGCCACCAAATGATTTCGTGAGATGAAGAAATTTTTTGTTTGTTTTATATTTGAAAAGGAAAAATTTGATTTTATTACACAACGGTAATGAATTTATTTCGATTACAAAAATGAAGTGTTTTTTAGTTGAACTTCTCTAATTGTAAGTAAATATAAGTGAATCCGCAAATTATCCGTTTCATTGAAGTGCTCTTTGGTAAACCACATTTTTTGTTTTTTGGTCTGTCGTTAACACAAACAAAGCGGATAGTTTCCCAACTCGTGAACAGGCAACGTATAACTGCCCATGTAAAAAACAATAATTTTCTAAATTATCTATTTGAAATTTATCCCGCAAACACTAAGCGATTGGCCTTGCGATTTGTTATTTCGAACGCAAGGTGAACTGGAAATTGCAATCGTTTGAAGTCAAACGGAAGACCAGTCGGAATCATTGGTATGTCACCAAATCTCCAGCAATTTTTGGTTGAATGATGAAATTCAGTGCGTGTACATCTGATAATTCTCACTTATGTCATTACTCGAATTTTTAATTAAGGTGCATGAAGTTCCAGCAATTTGCATTAAGGCACGATGCCATGCACTATTTTTTTAGCTATAAACCTTGCGGAGCCCGAGACCTTTCCAACGAATGCAAAATTGTCGAAATCGGTTGTGCGTTCTGGAGTTATATCGTCAGGAAGGAAATCCTGACTTATTTTAATATATGTAGATATTTCCAGATTCATATAATAATTATATTTTAGGGTTTTGTGGTCATGTCAGAAGTTCTGAAGGACTTTATGCTGCATTTATTCAACAACTTGATTCCACAACTCTGGATGGCAAAATCTTATCCTCCTTAAAAACTCTTGGAAGCTATGTGCGTGATTTGGAATTGCGACTGGATATGATGAGGTATAATTTCATATTTGCATTGCTGTTGTAGTATATATATTTTTTTTATTTTAGTATTGGTTTTCAGTGGTGCCCCAAACAGTTTTTGGCTATCAGGTTTCTTTTTCCCGCAAGGTTTTATGACAGGTGCTTTACAAACTCATGCCCGAAAACACAGTTTGCCAAATCGACAAACTAATATTCGATTTCAAAGTTATGCCAAATATTTGTGGAACAAGAAAATGTTTATATAGCACACAAACACGGAGAAGGAGATGTAAGCTCA